GAATTTCCAGTATGATATTGAAAAGGGCTGGTGAAAGGGGATCTCTTTGCTTTGTTCCTGATCTCAGTAGGAAAGTTTTGAGTTTCTCATCATTAAGTATGATGTTAGCTATAGTTTTTTTGTAGATTTTTTAAAAATCAAGTTGAGGAAATTTCCCTCTATTCCTAGTTTACTGCAAGTTTTTACTATGAATAGGTGTTAGATTTTGTCAAATGCTTTTTCTGCATCGATTGACATTATTGTGTGATTTTTCTTCTTTGGCCTATTGATATGATGAATTGTCTTAATTGACTTTTGAATACTGAACCAGCCTTAAATACCTGGGATAAATCCTTTTGGGTCATGATGTATAATTATTTTTATACATTGTTGAATTTGATCTGCCAGCATTTTGTGGAGGATTTTTGCATATATATTCATAAAGGATATTGATCTGTAGTTTTTCTTTCTTGTCATGTCTTTATCTGGTTTTGTACTGGGATAATGCTGACCTCATGGGATTAGTGAGAAAGTATTCCTTCTGCTTCTATTTTCTGGAAGAGATTGTAGACAATTGATATCCTTTCTTCCTTAAATGTTTGGCAGAATTTGCTAGTGAAATCATCAAGGTCTGTTGCTCTTTTTTTTTTTTTTTTTGTAAAGTTGTTAATTATTATCTATTACCTCTCTGATAGTAATAGACCTGTTCAAATTATTTATTTCTCCTGTGTGAGTTTTAGTAGTTTGTGTCTTTCAATAAATTAGTCCATTTCACCTAAGTCATCAAATTTGTAGGCACAGAGTTGTTCATAATATTCCTTTATTATCCTTTTAATGTCCATAGAATCAATAATGATCACCTTTCATTTCTGATATTAATGTATGTCTTCTCCCTTTTTTCCTTGGTTAGCCTGGCTAGAGATTCATCCATTTTATTAATCTTTTTAAGAGATAGCCTCAGTTTCATTGATTTTTCTTTATTGTTTCCTATTTCTAATTTCACTGATTTCTGCTCTATTTGGTATTATCCCTTTTTTCTTCTTGCTTTAGGATTATTTTGCAATTCCTTCTCTTGTTTCCTAAAATGGGAGCCTAGGTTGTTGCTTTTAGATCTTTCTTCTTTTCTAATATATGCATTTAATGTTATTCATCTTCCTCTAAGCACTGCTTTTGCTGCATCCCACAAATTTTGATAAGTTAAATTTTCATTTTCGTTTAGTCAAAAATATTCTCAAAATTTTCTTAAGACTTCTTCTTTGACTACTCATATATTATTTAGAAGTATATTGTTTAATCTCTAAATCTGTTGGGATTTTCCAGTAATCTTTCTGTTATTGATTTTTAGTTTAATTCCAATGTGGTGTTACAGCATACTCTGCATGACTTCTGTTCCTTTAAATTTGTTCAGGTGTGTTTTATGTCCCAGAATGTGGTCTGTCTTGGTGGATATTCCACATGAGCTTGAGAAGAATGTGTATTCTGCTGTTGTTGGCCGAAGCATTACACAAATGTCAATTAAATCCAGGTGATTAACATGCTGTTCCTCTCAACTGTATCATTACTGATTTTCCGCCTGCACGATCTGTTAATTACTGGTAGATGGGTGTTGAAGTCTACAACTATAATAGCTGATTTGTCTGTTCTTCTTCAGTTTTGTCATTTTTTTGCCTCATGTATTTTGATGCTCTGCTGTTAGGTGTATACATGTTAAGGACTATTACGTTTTCCTGAAGAACTGACCCTTTTATCATGATGCAATGCCCTCCCTTATCCCTATTAAAGAGATGTTCTTTGCTCTGAATTCTTCTTTGTCTGAAATTAAGATACCTATTCTTGCTTTCTTTTGATTAGTATTATCATGGAATATCTTTCTCCCTCTCTTTACTTCTAATTCATCTGTATCTATCTATCTATCTATCTATCTATCTATCTATCTATCTATCTATCTGTGTATATATGTGTGTGTGTGTGCATATATATGTGTGTGTGTGTGTATTTGCATTTTTTTTGAGATGGAGTCTTGCTCTGTGCAGCTTCCACCTGCAGGATTCAAGTGATTTCCTGCCTCAACCTTCCGAGTAGCTGGGATTACAGGTGTGTGCCACCATGCCCGGCTAATTTATGTATTTTTAGTAGAGACAGGGTTTTACCATGTTGGCCAGGTTGGTCTCGAACTCCTAACCTCAAGTGGTCTTCCCACCTCAGCCTCCCAAAGTACTGGGATTACAGGTGTGAACCATCGCACCTGGCCTGTGTCTTTATATTTAATGTAGGTTTCTTGTCACATAGTTGGGTCTTGTTTTTTGAGCCTTTCTAACATCCTCTGTCTTTTAATTGATATGTTTAGACCATTCATATTTAAAGTAATCATTGACCAGGCGCAGTGGCTCACGCCTGTAATCTCAGCACTTTGGGAGGCCGAGGTGAATGGATCACTTGAGGCCAGGAGTTCAAGACCAGCTTGGCCAACATGGCGAAACCCCATCTCTACTAAAAATATAAAAAATAAACCAGCGTAGTGGTGTGAACCTGCAGTCCCAGCTACTTGGGAGGCTGAGGTACGAGAATTGCTTGAACCCGGAAGGCAGAGGTTGCAGTGAGCTGAGATGCACCATTGCACTCCAGCCTGAGCGACAGAGCAAGACTTCGTCTCTAAATAAATAAATAAAGTGATTATTGATATCAGTGAATTAATATCTACCATGTTTACAACTATTTTGTGTTTGTGGCACTTGTCCTTTTTTTTTTTTTTTTTTTTTTTTGTAAAGTTGAGGTCTTACTACTGTCTCTTATACACATCTAGATGTGTATAAGAGACAGAGTTAGTGATTTCTCCTTGAGTGAACTTTAGTAGTTTGTGTCTTTCAATAAATTAGTCCATTTCACCTAAGTCATCAAATTTGTAGGCACAGAGTTGTTCATAATATTCCTTTATTATCCT